TTAGGTCATCTTCCTCGGACACACGCCTACGGAGATGACATTCAATTGTATTTATAATTTAAGCCCGACACTACATCTTCTCAAAGCAACGCAGTGGACGCTATGGAACGCTGTATTAGCGCCATCAGATGTTGGATGGTTAAAGATAAGCTTAAAGTAAATGATAGTAAGACAGAATTTATACTGATCGGATCGAGACAACAGCTCGCTAAAGTTGACATCAAGGGGTTGGTCGTTGGTGACGCGACTATCAGTCCTGTGACTGCCGTTAAAAACCTTGGATCGTGGTTTGATGAAAACATGAACATGGGCTGTCATTTCACCTGTATAACACCAGACGCATCAGAAAGTATTTATCTAAAGACTCCACAAAAACACTCGTGCATGCATTCATCACCGCACGTGTTGATTATTGCAATGGTTTGCTGTATGGTCTACCAGCCGCACATCTCAACAAGTTGCAACGTATTCAGAAAAATGCTGCCCGTCTTGTTTGTTCCCTTCCTCGTTTTTGTCATATAACTCCTACTTTGTTTTCCTTGCATTGATTATCTGTCTGTTTCAGAATTGAATTTAAATTACTTATTTTAGCGTTCAAGGCTATCCACAGGCTGGCACCTCAGTACATTACGGATCTAATTAACGTTAAGCAACAATTCGGACGTATGATGTTACGATCTCAGTCTGAACTACAATTATTGCCACCCAGGACCATAACTAAGAAAACTTTAGGTGATAGATCATTTATGGCATCTGCTCCTAAACTTTGGAACAGATTGCCATCAAATATAAGAGCAGTAAAGGATCTTAATTGTTTTGAAACACTTCTTAAAACACATCTCTTTAGACAGGCATGTTCGTGATTGCTTTTATAGTTCGTTTTCATACTTTTTTTTTTAGTTAGTCAAATTGTATATTCTTAGCCTTTTCATATTTTATTTTGCTTAGTCTTACTGTATAGCGCATTAGATCATATCCACATGTATTTTGCGCTATATAAGTAATAAATTATTAATTATTATTATTAAAGTTGACGCTTCCACGAGTCACAACAGACGCCGTCAAATGGCGGCCTTGGCGGCGGAACTTGACAAGAGACAAGTTGCGTTGGAGAGTCACAGCCAGGAACCAGCGGTTCTGAGACATGCGCGGCTGACGGGACTCCCAACTTAAACCTGAAAGACAGAGAGACGAACAGCAATATAAGCTGCGTTTGAGATGTTTGTACGAGATCTGGAGGGACTTCGTCGAGTATTTCAAGTTAATTACCCTTCAAAAAGTTAGTTCATGACAACAAAGGAATCATAGCAATAGATAAAATAGACCAAAAGAAAGAAATTTCTTTCGCGCTTTGAATAAAAAGGGAGACAAAATGTCTTTTTTTCCTTCACTATTGTTTTGGAATAGCAACGAAAAGTCATTTAAAACCATTATTATAAAGCCTCAGAGCGTCCTGCCCCGATGCCAAATCTACGATATACAGGCCCTGTCGGAGATCCGGCGACAAATAGATGCCTTAAAACACGGTACTTGAAAACTGATATTAACGTTAAGAACGGAATACTTAAGCACTTCAGACTCAAGGTGAAAAAAAGGTTACATAGGTAGGGATGTTTCTTTTTCTCCTCGTGAAAGGCTTAAAACTGTTCTATATCACCCAGAATGCAATCTTTTTTTTGAAGGTCGGCTTGAAAAGTAAGTGTACACTGTTCTATTAGTGCTCAAATCGGGCTGGTGATAACTAATCACGTTCGAGAACTTTGCTACAGTATTGATTAGTGCACCAATGGGACAGTGTAAAGTTCACGTTATGCTTGTAACTGGCCATTTAACGCAACATGCCTGTGTGACTACACGCGTTATATGCGTGCTGTTATAATTTTGTCAATCACTTGATGAATTACGGACCGAATTGGTCTGCATTCTGTCAGGCTTAGTACTACTCATAAATGTCTACACATGTTTGTCATGGGTAGATCGGTTGTTCAGGGCGCGCTTATCACACAACAAGAGATTCAGCTCAGACTGATATACAGCAATACCTGTTATCAATTGTGACAGTTTTAGCCGAGACAGTATTTATTTTACGATTGTTAGAATTGACGGTTTTAAAAACTACTGACAGTTATTAAAGTAATTCATCCGCGTTCGGCTGAAACTAGACAAATGTGTTTTGTTTGTAATAAGATTTAAAAAAAGAACCGAAGGCCATTTCTGCTGTAAAAAGTAACTGAAGGGTTGCTTGTTGGTCAAACCCTTTAACTCCCAAGATCTGATTGGTAATTCTCCCCTCTAGCTGCAACACATTTCCTTGTAAATTTGTTATAAGAATTTGCTGTTAGATCAAGACAACAACTTTTACCTGATAAGTTTAAATATTCTCATTAGCTGTTCGCGGGAAAATGTAAGGATATTATCAGGAGGACTTTCATGTTGATCACTTCTGGGAGTTAAATGGTTAACCTGGTGCTTGTCAATATATGACAAAAACCAACACAGAAGAGGGTATCATAACTTTCTACTCATTGCCTATGGGCAGCCGTCACCACCAAAAATACAAGGATGTCAAATAGATCAGCAAATACAAAGCTGGTTTAAGGATCAGCTGCAGGATAGAAAAGCTAATACAGGAATGGCATGGCCAAATTATAGACGGTTTAGTTTTCCTCCATGAAATAGAACACCCTAAACATGAACAGTCTAGCCAAATGATAAACGGTCCGATTGCCCATGTCGAGTTAGAACATGAAATTGCGAAATAGACTAGCTCAATTACGAATAGCTTAGCCCTCATTTGCATTACAGTACACAAACGGTGTAGCGTTGCGTCAAATGGCTCAGGGTAATGTCGAATGGTACAGCGTATACACAAATGGTGTAGCGTTATGTCGAATAGCTTTGCAGAACATCAGACGCTCTATCTGAACATTAAATTCCTTAGCATTACACGAAATATTTCGATGTTGTGGCGAATCGTCGTGCTTGCTTGTTGGTTTCGGCGAGATGGCCTTCACGTCACGCCACCAAAAATGCAAACTGCAAATGGAACAGTGATCTGCTGGGGGCATGACGTCATCGAATGTGAAGACTGTCGCGAAACCGTCACATGGTGTAAGAGTCTTACTTCGCCTTGCCGTAAAGCACAGCCAATTCGGTGAGTTTCTCCCTTTTTTTCCTGCCGATATTGCATTTATTCGTTGTCGTTCATGAAAGTGTTAATTAAAATAACAACGAGACTGGATTCTACCACGGTTTGCCGGCCTCCCGGTTTACCACAGTTTGCACGCGTTGGGTGAGCCTGAATGTCTATAGTACTAAGTAGTGTTAAGACGTGCATTAAATGTCGATTGCCGAGCTCTCTTTTCTTTTTCTGACTCACGCTTACTTTTTAATGAGAGTTCAACTTCAACCGGGCTCTTTGAACATTGGAGGAGTACGTGAGAAGTTGGATTTTGTGTCTGCCTCGGACGCTATGGTAAGTAAAACTGATATTCTTGATCTGCTTTGACATGTTTCAATCAAACACGTAGTGTTTGCCAAAGCGACCTTTTTTCCGAGTTGGTTTTATAGTCCGGCACACCAATTAACGCATTACGATATCACTTTTATTGAAGAATGTCGAAACAGATCAAGTATATCAGTTTTCTTACCATGGAGGGCTCGACGATCGACATTTAATGCACGTCATAATTAACAATTGGTACACACGTTCGCGTGCGTTCATCGAGATATGAAGCACGCGGGAAGTTTGGAGAGCACGAAAGATGCGTAAGAGTTGCTCGAGGCATAGCTGAGAGCAACTTTAGCTTCTTGAGTGCTCTCCAAACTTCCCAAGTGCTTCATATCTCCATGAACGCACAGCTGACGTATGAACCAATTGTTTTATAACATTTTCAACCAGATGGAAAATTTTTTTCTCGAGGGATTTGTTTGCTGATGTCATGAGAGTGCACAATAAGAATATGAAGCACGCTCGCGCAATTGAATTTGAATTTGGCTTCGGCGAGATTGTCTTCACGTCACGCCATAAGCAAGCTCGACGATTCGCCACAACATCGAAATATTTCATGTAATACTAAGCGATTTAATGTTCAGTTAGAGCGTCTGATGTTCTGCAAAGACGTGTGTAAGCTGTACCATTCGACATTACGCCAAGCCATTTCACGCAGCGCTACACTGTTTGTATGTACGCTGTACCATTCGATATAATGCTGAGCCATTTCACGCAACGTTACACTGTTTGTATGTACGCTGTACCATTCGATATAATGCTGAGCCATTTCACGCAACGCTACACCATTTGTGTGTACGCCGTACCATTCGACATTAAGCTAAGCCATTTCACGCAACGCTACACCATTGGTGTGTACGCTGTACAATTCGACATTACGCTGAGCCATTTCACGCAACACTACTCTATTTATATGTACGCTGTACCATTCGACATTACGCTGAGCCATTTCACGTAACGATACACCATTTGTGTGTACGCTGTACAATTCTAAATTACGCTGAGCCATTTGACGCAACGCTACACCGTTTGTGCGTACGCTGTGCAAGTGAGTGCAAAGCTATTCGTAATTGAGCTAGTCCATTTCACAATTTCATGTTCCAGCTCGACATGGGCAACTGGACCGTTTATCATTTGGCTAGACTATTCATGTTTAGGGTGTTCTGTTTCATGAAGGAAAACTAAACCGTCTATAATTTGGTCATGCCATTCCTTTATTAGCTATTCTATCCTGCAGCTGATCTTTAGACCAGCTTTGTATTTGCTGATCTATTTGACATCCTTGTATTTTTGGTGGTGACGGCCGCCCATAATTGCCAGTACCTCGCAACAATATGGGTAAAGTAACCGCATGTAACAGGGACTTGTATGAGACTGTTTGATGTGGGTCTTAGGTTTCTAAACAGGAGTCTTCGCATCTTGGGAGTCTAGGATTTTACCATTGCCACCCCTACATAAACTATTTAAGAAAAACAACAATTAAGCAAACCTCAAACAGCCTCAGTGATTCCTCTATTGGTCTGTCCCGCCAGGGACTGGGTGGGGGATTGTGGCCCTTGATTTCTACATACTGCTGGTGACAGACACATTTGCTTGTCCCCTAAATTATCACAAAGTTGATGAAAAAAGAAAAAAAAAAAAAAAAAGAAATTTGTCATTACTGTGACTAGCAGATTTGTCGCTATAGATGCAAATCAATGTGATAAATGTTTACCTTTTGATGAGCTCTACAGCAAAATCATACAATTTTTCAAATTGTCTGAAGCATGGGTTATCTTCCATGGTTCAAAACCTGAAAAAAACAAAAAAACAAAAACAAAAACCAAATGAAAGTGGGATGACAAAGTCTGGTGGAGAAGCTACACACAATTCAATTTTGGTTTAGTTTGGAAGGAGAACAATAAAGAGATAATAATTTGTTAGCAAGTGCACTATGATTGGTCAATTTAGTAGGCTGTATCTCATGGTGCACCCTGCTAAATTCAAAAGTTTGTTTGAATTGAAATCTTTCCTCTCTATTTGAATCCAGAAATAAAATAAATATCTTACTAATCTCGTTTTCTTAATTTCTACAGTAAGTTATGGACCCTTGTTTTTTTTCCAAGAGGGTACATGTCCCACATACTTTCCCATTGGCCCATAAAACCCAACAGAAAAAACTTGATCTGTAACTTACAGCACAGACCTTGAACTTGGTTAGTAAAAGGCATCAATAACCCACGAAGAATCAAATGTGGCTAATGATAGAGATGATCAAACAGGGATTGCAAATGAATCCACTTGGAAATTTGTGAATCAACCCTTTAGATGCCGCCATCAGTATGCATGTTCTCTATACTTTTCTCTATACATTTCATAAGATGCTGACTGGGAGAATTTAATATTTAACAATCAAAAACTTCTTTAGTTCATGTTCATTTCCTTTATTCTTGTCACCTTAAAGTGTGATATATTGCTACATGTCCTCCCTCTTAGGGATCAAAGGATTAATTTTTGATGATGGGCATAAATTCTTTATCCGCAGTTCAAATATAAGACTTTCATAAATTCACATTCATAAATTCTTAGATGACAGTTAAAACTTCTTAAACTTGACAAGAGGAAAACTAAGAGAGATATGTCGACAGAAAATATTGAGCTTTTCCTGGAAATCTTCCTTAACAAAACTATTTTACTAACCAAGCCATTTGACCAAATCCAAAATTCCTGTGAAAAACTTCTCCTCTTCCTTCTCTGGGTTTGTGTCATCATATCTCAAGCAGCAAACACCGTTGTGGGCCTGAGGAGAATTAATAGCACATAATAAATACATTTTAATAACACTGATAATGGTGATGAGATTCATGATGGTAATGAGGATGGGGACTTTAATGACGATCATGACTGTAATGGCAATTACATCTTTAAATGTTAAAATAGAAATGATAATGATGATAACATAAACATGAGATTTAGTGCCAGGAGTCTGGTAAATACAACAGATTTCAACAATAACTGGCAGCATACACTCAACCTCACTGTGCCCAGTGGCACAGGTAATGCCTTAACAATGTCCCTCCAAATCACCATGTCTTGAGCTAATCTTGCATCACTCCCCACGTTATATAATGCACATGGCACCATCTTATTCATGACTTTACATATTAACCAACAAACCAAAAAGAACAACCTCACATCACAATAGATCAAAACTGACCAATCACCACAGACTTATACAACTTGAATCTAACAGCAAATATCATCACTGCAAAAACTGACCATCACTTCACCCCATAAACCACACTACTTTTACCACTCAACTAACAAAAACTGTTCATTTGACTCCCATGAAGACTTCCACTAAGGTTGTTGAAACATCAGTAAGCACTACCAAAACATTCCTTCTCCAGACTACCTTTATCTGGATGATTAGACTAAACAATCAGAAAAAGCTATCAGAGCATTCTGAAGTGATACAGTATCATAAACCTTACTCTTGCATAACCAAAGTTGAAGTTGATAGCTTTGGCATGACCAATGTGAAGAATGCCATTGGGTTCAGGAGGAAATCTTGTTTGCACCTAGAAAAGTAGAATTCTCAATAAATTTCATGTAATATTTAGCTTGTCAGAAGATACTATGTAATTATTGTGTAGACACTGCATGTAAACTCAGGAAACACACAAAAAAACACTCACAGAAACAATAAATTAAAGAAAAATAAACATGGAAGTCTACAAATTAGAATAAAAAATAATAAAGTGTGAGCTGGGAACCATGCTTACATGTATTTTAGAGTACCTATTTTCTAACACCTGAAGATTACAATGTGGGGCTTTCCTCTCTATGCATGATGATGGACAATCAACAACAATTCCCTATTAAAATGTACTTTTGATTTCTGTGCAGTCCAGCATTGCACATTTGTATTCCCCAGAGTAAACAGTCAGTGCGAGAGAACAAGTTATTGTTAGTAATAATCTAGCCCAGGACAAAATAAAATGATCTCTGCCAGTTTTCTAACCCAAGTACTCAGTTAACAGTCCATATTGTTAACATGTCTTCAAAGCATAATGCATCATTCAACACTGAAACTGTGAAATCCTGTAAGAATCATTTCATTACTTGAACAGTTAAACTATCTGACACTTACTCTTCCTCCAGTTCTTTCTAAATGTTCCTTTAGTAGTGTCATTGTCTTAGGGGTTACAACATAGGCAGGTGTAAGGTAGTTCTCACCTAAGTTTAAAAAAGGTATAGAAAATACTGATTAGTACATAGACATAACTAAGTGTGTTACCAAGGGGAGACTGAAGACATCTTACATGTCCATTATAATAAACATTATTGCATCATGGCCTGATAATAACTATTCCTAATGAAGCTACTGACAGTACACGATTTCAAATGAGTCAACCCCTAACACTTGAACATCAGTGTGCATATTCTATAAGCTGTTCTTATTCTTTTCCTAAGGTGCTGATGGGGAGAATTTGTTTAACAATCAAGAGCTGATCATTTCCTTCATTGTCATGACCTTAGTGTGTGACTTGGAGGTGATATTGTCTGTAAGAAGAAATGCCAGTCATTTTAAAAGTTCAAAGGGTAAAATAATTTTGGCTAACCACAAAACTATAAATACTAAAAAAATTTAGTTTGGTGAGATATAATAAGACAAGAGAGGCAAATATGAAGATGAATTACTAGATACACGCCAGAGTATCATGGCTGGAAACAGAATTTGCATTAAAACTAATTGCAAACTATATGATGTGGCCTGTATCCTGAGCTATATTCACCTGGTTTGTGGAACTTGCTTGCCTCTCCAAACAAAGAACTTGTTTCATCATCTCCAGTATCACCATTCAATGAAACCTCTACAGCTGCAGGATGAGACTCTTTTGCTGGCTTTCCCTCTTTGCTGGGCTTGGCCTCCTATGATCAATACATGTACAGTCCATCACATTAACTCTTTACACCCTAACATCAGTAAGCGTATTCTCCATTCTGTTCCCAACACATTTCCTGAGCAATAATTTGTTTAACAGTCAGAAGCTTTGGGGCCCGGTTGCTCAAAGTCTGATTAGTGCTAACCCAGGGTAAAATTTTAATCTGAGTTTCTTCATTCACTTTTTTCAAAGCCTTTTTCAGATAATTACCTTTATTCTTATTTGGGCATCCAATCATCAAATTGTAGACAAAAAGAATAGTACTGAATTTTCTTTTACAGCTTTCAGATCTGAAAGCAAATTTCACACTAACCCTGGGTTACTTTAACCCAGCTTTGAAAAACCCAGCACAGATCTTTAGTTGGTGATCATTTCCTCTTTTCTCATGACCTTAGAGTTTGATTCTGGGATGATACTATGAGGAGAAATTACATGCTAATCACTCTGAGAGGGTAAAAGGACCAAACTTCAAATCATACAATATTGTTTTAAAAATGGTTCATTTACGTAAATTATCCTTTACCCTTAAGATCTCATTAGTAATCCTCCTTACTATCTCCCATACAGTTCTTGTGATTTGTGTTTGGAGAATTTGGTATTGGATCAACTCATAATCCCTTAACTGATATTTTTCTTCATTCTCATCACTTGTCTGCTTGATATTGTATTGATATTGTAAGGAGAGATTCTGTCTTGGTCACTCATGGGAGTTAAAGGGGTAACCCTTTGACCCCTCAGAGTGACTTATAAACCATCTCCATCAATCACTTATGCTGCTCATTGTCTGGTTCTATGCACTTGGTTATATCAAGGTGGAAACTTTAAAATATGGTGCTATAAATACAAGTCTCTAGTTATGTCACCTTTGTTTTGAAAGCCTGCATGTCTGCTTCAGTTTTAGGTCCAAGCAAATCTAAGATCTGTAAAAGAGTCAAAATACCAACAATAAATACCATCCAACAAAAGAGTCATTGTTAAATATTAATAGTTACACCTGTGTGAAATCAAACCTTCCAAAAGATAAGTCCATAATATTCAAACATCAATATTTTCCTGTTTTTTTAACATTTTGGAGCATGGTTCTCTCTAACTTTCTCGCAAAAAATGTTCATAATAGAGTAGTCTCTACTTGTGACAGTAATCATGGATCTCCTATGTAATATAGGACATTTTCTTCAGTCTAAGGGCAACTTATTCCTGTCAGCAGTGAAGACTTCCTTTGACCTGGTGTGAGTTTGATGTTCCTGGCAAAACTGACAGATGGAGTGACAACTGATGGACATACAGAATGACAGGCAGACAGTAGGACTGATTTATAGCAAGCTATTGTACCACAAACCTGCATATCAATTTCTGCTTTCACAGCTTTTCCATCTGCCCACTTTAACTTCTCTCTCGCCTTTCCTAAAATTTCAAACAAAGTAAAAACAGGTCATATATCTTTACTAAAACAAACAATATCCATTAAATTAGTTCACAAGAGGATTTATAATTTTCAGGGCTTCCAGACAAGTGGAACATTAGAGGGGCCTTATTACAGAGGGGCTTGTTTGAGAGGGGCTTATTAGGGAGGGATTATTTACAGGAGGGAGGCCTTATGAGAGAGGGGACTCATTTGAGAAGGTTCATCAGAGAAAGGGGCTCATTAGACACTGTGAAAGAATAAAGTCTCATTCTAAACTCACCCATTATTATTCCAACATTGAATTTGTAGCGTTTCTTCAACAATTCTTCCTTGTGTTTCTTGATAAGTTCTTCAACCTTGTGGAAAAAAAAAAGACAAATAATATCAAACAAAAAGTCTCTGAAATGAGTGTTATCTTAATCCTTAGTATTAGTAATGGTATTATTAACCCTCTACAGCCTAACATTAGTATGCATATTCTCCATACTGCTCATCATACATTTCTCAAGGTGCTGACAAGGAGAATTTGTTTAGTAATCAAGAGTTTCTTCTGTTAATGATCATTTCCCTTATTCTCATGACATTATTGTGTGATTCAGGGGTGATATTGTAAGGAGAAATTAGATGCTAGTCACTCTTAGAGGTTAAAGGGTTAAGTTGTAATTCACGTAAGTGATTCTCCCTTTCAACTGATATACAGTACCTTGCAATTCAAGTAAGTTAAGTGAAACTGATGTGAGCTACTTTAAAAGAGTAAATCAAATCTTTCAATTTCTTACTTACACAGTCTTCAATCTGATCAGGTGTGATGTTTACTCCAATACCACAATTTTTTTCAAAGGCAGCCACATCAACAGGCAAAACTGGATTGGCCTTCATAAAATCCACTGCAGCTAAGATAAAATAAAAGTAACACATAATATGAATATTAATTAACTGATTGAACCCAGGGGTAGAATTTATTTATGTTGTCCAATCAGACAAAGGCAGTCTGGAGAAGTACTAATGTTCATATTAGTTCATGATATTTTGACAACCCCAGGGGAAGTCTTCATCTTGTCTCCATTCTGATGATGACCTCCACAATGATTTTTAAAATGTCAGTCACTTCCACCAACAGCAGTCCTTCTCAATTTACTCAGACAATCAGACAGTACCATCAAATTTATCAATCCCCTGAAATACCTTCGAAATAATTAATCACCAACTAAACAATAAGTACTTCTTAATCACCAAGTTCAAGGTCCATACTGTAACTTATGACCGATTTTTTTTGCACAGGTCAAAAAAATTCCATTGGGGAAAATCCCAGCATAAAAAAACCATGTTCTGTAATAATAATAATGATAATAATAATAATAATAATAATAGTAATAAATTTAATAGTTATATAGCACAAAATTCATTAAAGGTATATGATCTAATGCACTTTACAATAAATTTTAAAAATATCAAAAGAAACTGCAGGGAATATGATAGTTAGATTACAAAATGAAAACAAAATTATATTTAACAATAAATTAAAAAGCGATAAAAAATCTATATAGTAGATAGTCTAAAAATGTTCACACAGTTAACAGTATGCTTGTTTAAAAAGATACGTTTTCAGTTGTTTCTTAAAAATATTTACACTACTTACACTTAATTTACAGTATGGACCAAGAAAACAAGGTTAGTAACTTAAAAATATTTTTTTTTCCATCTCTGGGTTAAATTAGAGGGGTAGATTTTGACCTAAACACACTTTTTGATTTAGCACACCATATAGTAAAAAAAGGCTTAATGAACTGACCAATCATGATGCACATAGTAATTCAGAGATATAATAAAAAACCTGATCAATTTCAGCTTCTCCTCCCTTTCTTACACTAGATAGCAACATCATACCTGTCAGTTGTATCGCAGATGCCAACTTCTTGTTTGCAATGTAGTTACTAACAAACTTGATCTGTGATTCATCTTTGATATTGCTGCTTGCCAAGGAGTACATCAAAACACCAGTGGGTTTTTCAATCGCGTCTGTGGATTTTTCTTTCACCTGTTAAAAACAGAAAAATTGTGATGCTCAATCTAAGCATAGAGAAGCAGTGAACACAAGAAATAGCCATCATCAATTCTACAGTGTAGGACAGTTGTACCATGGACACTAAAATCTATTTGCCCCAGCCTAGTGTCATACTGACTGTTTCACAAAGGTACAAGCATGTCTTCACAATTCATTAGATACAAAGAAAAGGGCAAAAAGGAAAAAGTAGATCAACTACAAGGCCAACAGATTACAGAGTGACCATAGGCTTAAAAAAGTACAACTCAAAATTGATCTTGCTTGTCCTTATTTTGGTTGCTTCATTTTGTGTCTTGATTACTTCATCTCCATTAGCACTCTGAGGCAAGTTGTTCAAAGGCCAATTAGCACTAATCCAAAGTTAAATTTTAATCAGGGTTTCTTTATTCCTTTGATTCAATAGCCTTCTTGGGATAATTTTCATGATTTTTTTTTTTTAGCATCCAAGATAGAAAAGGAAAAAAAAATTATACCAAAATTATAATTTTTTTTAAACTTTCAGATCTGAAATCAGGTTTCACACTAACCCTGGGTTATCTTAACCCAGCCCTGCTTTACAAATGAACATGCAGGATGCAAGTAGAGAAGGATAAAAAAGAGTGTAATTGCATGAACATAAAGCCAGATATTTACACAAGGTCTAGGATAAACCAAGGTTTTACGCAATCAATGGGCCTAAGGCACACTCTATAAGAGGGTTGATTGACTTAAAAATGTCTTCCACTGCAAGCTTTCAGCTCTCTTGACACTGTTCCCAAAAATAAATGTTCAGATAAAGGGTTCAGTTAAACTGAGGATTGTTTACAAAGTGGTTTTGTTCTTTGTTTAAATAATCAGCACTCAGTGACTGAGTTAGGTCCAGTTGGACAGAGAATATTTAGCTTTGAGTCATGACATACAAACCTTGTACATTCTCGTCCAGTCCTCTCACTCACTCAATTTGTACTCAATATATTACCAATGTACTGTTCAAAACCAATATATGCTCATTTACATAACAAATCTTCATTCCAGTAGTGCATTTTAATTTCATCACAAAAAAGCAAGATTTCCAATTATTGCAAGAATCGTAAGAAAGAGGAAAACTTAAGACTTTATGTCACCCATTTATGTTACTATTACATGTAAGTACCAGTTATTGCATCAGCCTACGAAGAACTGATCGAGCTGATATAAGATAAAGAGATTGCAGTAGCACCTTTAACAAACATTCTCAGCCAATCTAACGAGATCACTAAAAATATACAAACATTTTTTCAAGCAAGTGCATCCATGATCAGTTAATACTCCACAAAAATCACAGGCTATTAAAATCTATCGAATGAAAACCCCAAGCTTTTACTCACCAAAGTTATGATGGATTCCAGTCGCTTCGAAAGCGCATCATTCTTCAGTGTTTCCTGAGCTTTCTGCTCGCTTAAACCAATACTTTGGAAAAGTCCAGCCTTGTCCATCACCGATCGACTAACAATAACAGGAGAAAAATTCTCACAAAGCGCGGAGGCAAAAGAACGAAACCTTATTCTACGAGGAAACAGCCACATGCATGGAATAGACTATACCTTTGTAGCCGCGCAAGCTCGTTCAAGAAGACTAGGTCGAGACTGGCTTGGTTTATTGGATCTACATTTATTTTGGCGGTGTCACAGTACGTTTCCTAAGGTGGACTTGCTAAGGTGTTGACAAGAAGAATTTGTGTACCAATCAAGAGCTTCTTTAGTTTTGTGATCATTTCCTTTATTGTTGTGACCTTCATGCGTGATTTAGGGGTGATATTTTAAGGAAAAATCAGGTCGTTAACAGTTAGGTGAGATCAAGGTTCTGAAAGGACGAAACACCTTATGATTTCCTTTTTGTTAATCAAGGCTATTGTTATATTCATCTGGCATAGTAACTTCAGGGATTTCTCCAACCTAAACAGCCGGCGGTTTAACGATTATCACATCAGCGAAAAAATAAAAAAAGGGAATGTTTATGTCATTGCGCTATACTCCTGATTAATGAAAACCTAAAAGATGCTGTATGAGGCCCAGTCTCACCTGGCCTATAAATAGCGAAACACGGTAGCTACAAAATAGAATCATGGGTCACGAAATAAACGATGATACACGATTTTCTGTTTCGAGTTTGATGAGCTCATATTCAGCTTCTTCAATAGTGCTGGTGTTACCAAGTGCACCGTTTCGTTACACACTTGTGGGGCAAATCACATTTTCACAGGAGTTAAGGTGAGGACAGAATAAGTTAATAGCGACCTAATGCAGTGGATGAGATAAACGGGTATTGACTAAAGATACCTAAAGATACAAATAGAATTAATTTGAAACATGAGACAAACGAATGAAAGAAATATCGATCTTATTCATTAACTTTCCTCTCGAGGTCATCGAATTTTACGATCTGAAGTTCACCCACATAGCTTTAGATTTCTCGTTAATGAGCCATGACATACAGTGGATACATAAAGGATCATCCTGCATACTGCTGAGATCATCGATGTCGAAAGTGTCATATCTAAATAACACATAGTGAAAGAAAGGAAATTTCAAGCTCCTTCGTGACAAAGGAAAAAAATCATTTTTAACCGACGACCGAAAAAAAAGACCCTATCCGTCAGATCAAGTTAAACGACAGAGTAAATATCAATGCTGACATGTTGATAAACATACCAGACCTTGAGGTAGCTTATTTATCTTCCCATGAGGGATCTTTGAAGCTGCAGTATTTCTGATTTCAGTATCATGTGTGTCACTTGTTTGTATGAACTATAATACAATTATTTATGGCCTCGCTTACTGCATCCAAACTCAGCAGACAATTCCGGAGCTCTAAGAGAAAGAGAGCTAGGGCCTCAGATTTCTCTTCCAAATTAACGACAACTGGTTCAGTGACAATTTAATCATAAAATTCCTGTAAGATACCCTGAGGGTTTCTGTACACAAAGATGCATGGAGTACATAGATTTAAAAAATTCTGGAATAACTTCCTCGGATATTTCTCTAAGAAGAGTACTTATGGTATTCGCTTTAATTCTTTACAAGACGCGTAACGATTTGAATATGCTTTTCTTTAGATAAAGCGAGAAGTCAATTATTTTCTTGGGAAAGAACTTTATTGGAGTTGAATTTATTGCAAGTAGTCTTCAGGTGAGGAAAGATAATGAAGAGATATGTAGCAGATTATAATCGAAAGACGGGAAAATTCGAAAAAATAAACATAAAGAATACATATTATTGATGTGATTTCTTTAGCTTTGTATCTCCTCCGGTGATGAATATGTGCAACTTGTTATTACAAAGTACACGTAGATATCAACCCAGCAAAAAAGGAGTGATCTTTGAGAACAGAGAAAGTTATCAGTAAAAGCAAAGTATCTCGATGTAACACTAAATTTTTTTACATGTAAAAGAAAGACAGTGAATGAAAACAACTGAGACATGGATGCCCATTTAATCTTGTTCGGAAATCGACTACATACCGACAAACCCATCTGGATTTTGTGAATCAGCATCGTTTTCATATTAGAAAGGAACAGATTTTATTATTCCAAAACTGATTGTATCGGGATGAGATCTAGAGCGCCACTGAATTTCACTGGACATTTACGCTTTTGACTGCAAAAATATTTCGTGCAGAATTGGCGGGAATTATTTACAAGAAAAAAGTTTACCGCTATTATTTTTAGAAACTTTATGAAGTTGTCACGGTGAAAGCGGAAAATGAAAATTTGAGAGAACTGTAACGCTAATGGGAAGATGACCAAAAACAAATGTGTATCATATTGATCGAGGGATATATCGAGTTGATCACTTGAAGAGAAATTGCATTGGTACAATATAATTCACGGTATGAATTTATCCTTGTCGATTCAGTTATGACAGAGTGTAACATGGCCTGCTCTGAGGAGAAAAGGCATTTTGCGGATTGAGAGTGTTTTGCACCAAAACGGAAAGAACTAAATTTAAATTACAAGATAAATTAATCGTCATGCAGAAACATGTAAACAAGTAATAATCATAGAGAGAATAAAACAAACAAACAAAAAAACAAGCACAATAACTTTCTTAGAGAAGAATAGCAATTGTGATCACGAAACTGGGTATTAGACGAGGTTAGATCTTTTAAACTCGTGAATATGTAACCTTGTTCATTTTTTCATCGAAATTGTTGTAAAGCAAAATGTTATTTTTGATATTTTCAGGCATGTAGAATTAACAAATGACATCATTTGGAGAATAGAGGGATTCAGAGGATGACAGTTTAACAGGTACAAACCAATTTTCATTCTGCAACTGATTAGAGCTGTTTAGAGCTCATGTCATTTATAATGAAAGATCGTAATCTTAATTTTCGTGCAGCTGACAACAATTAAGTTTAATTTCAGTCGAATTTTCTCGGGTTATTGTTGTCAGACGTGAAAATATCTCACTTACATACACTTATAAATTTCATTGGTTTCTCTCATTTGACTCGTGGTTAAATAGTCTGCACGCGATGCAATTTCCTAAACCCTCTAACTCCTAGAGATGAAATAAATTGCAATATCATCATACGCTTGGCTTTCAATTTGTTGTAGATGATGTTTCTTGATAACAAGAATTTTGATGAATAAGACACTTTCCAGTGCCATCTTTTCCAGTCCCTCAAAATAACCTCGTATTCAGTGCCTTTTTTTAATTCGAAATGAACAAATCGGGTCCTTCCCCAACAAAAGGGACCAGCTACTTCGGTTATTCAAAATTTCTTGGCTCCTTCAAAAAAATTAATGAAGGAGTTTATTCACTGGAACTTATAATTTTGTCAAAAAAAAAGACTATATCCAGCAATTTTCGATACTTTGAGGGACATTTTTCACATGGGTAACTTTATAAACGTGTTTCTTTACGCAATGGGCTCGCGGGGTGTTAGCAGAATTCGTGACGGTTACGCAAACCCTTGAAGGTGTTTCGGTTTGGAATAAGTTTCGCGAATTCTCGCAGCCTCACACGCGATATAATGAAGGAATGAGAGAAAGAGTCTTTTATTGCATTATTTTTGATCCATGCTTATCCGTGCCTACCGCGTACAACTAAGGGACAGCCTTGAACGACGTTTTATCAGATGAGACTACGAAAACAAACAAACAAACAAACAAATGAAAAAACAAACATGACGCAACCCATAGAACTTGACCGGAGCTGTCACGCAACCACAACAGCGTGACGGAGGAAACTTTGAGATTCTCATTCTTCCTCAATGATTAAGTATACAATGTTTTCTTTAACTTACTTTCATCTGAGTCTCCTCTTTTTTATTTTTAGCAATGTAACGCAGAACAATCGATCCAATTTTACTTCTAGCTATGGCAGAAAGCAACCTCCCAACAACGGGAGAAGAACTGGAGGTGAAAAATGAGTTTCCAGCCACAGGTGAGGAAAAGCAACAGGGAAAGACTTCGTCATGGTGATTTTGTACTGTTTGTTAATTAAGTATATCTTAATTCTGATGCACAATTTTTTGGATCATTTCGACTCGAAGGTTTTAAGTAATCCAGTAAATACGCCAGTATTAGAACGCTAGTTGTAATTGCACATAGATGTGATCACTAACAAAGTTCTCTGTAGTTTCAGCAACAGAGAAAAGTCAAGTTACGTCAAGTGACGCTGAATTGGATGTATACGATGACCCTTTAAGAGGTAAGAACACCAGGTGAATCAAGATTTTTTGAAAGACTTCCCAGTGAAATTTTTGTCACATTTACATCAAAATTTGCTTATGTTCTGTGGATAAGTTTTTGAAACAGCAAAAGATTGTTTCTTCAAATTTCAAACTTTGTTACCAGTAAAATATAAAACAAAGGAAAAACAATTTATTGCTCGATCCGATCGAGCAGAATGCGTAGACATCATTAATTATTCATAACCGATAAATTTGAACGCGACTTCGCTTTGAAGAGCCCTAAATTAGAAAAGAATGTGACAAAATTGGCCCCCTAGGCTTGGTAAAACTCAGTTTTCTGAGTTTTAGAAGTGCTAACTTCTAATTCGACGCACGGTGTTTTTAAGAATAAAGATGTATCTACAATTTGCACCTAAAATGAATGATAATTGCGAAGAAGAAGTATCATCCTTTTGCATTTGAAAATACCCAAAATGTGGTCATTTTTAGTGTGAAAGTCATTTTCGTCGAGCGAGAGCTGTTGGTACCAGTAGACCTGTTAAAGTCCAGTATTAAAAATTTGCAAACGGGTAACTTTTGGGGGCCACCACGAGGAAAGTTTTTGTCCCTCATTGTTCAATACATATTCGGAGGAAATTTTGCGCAATATTAGAATTCTACAGAGAAGAGGAAGCATTTTGTCTTAGTCGTATGGCCTGTTTTGGTCCTCTAGATAATTCACACCTTTTCGGACAGTTATGACAACACCAGACCCACGCTGTAAACCACCAGCCAATAATATAATAGAACCGCTGACTTTTACAACAGACGAAATGGCACTTCGCGGGAAAATGGTACTTTCCCAATCAGATTTTCTTCATTTAGCCTCTTCGAGTATGTTCTCAATAAACAACTACATGTATGAGAAAAACCAAGTCACACACAAAAAAGAGAAAACATGCGTAACGCAGGTGTAAAAGGGTTTTTGGAGAGCCTCTCGACCTAAATGTAAACCGAACAGATTTGATCTGGTTATAGCCAAACTACAGCTAAAACTCCTGATAGCTTGCATATTTTAAAGCAAACAAAATGCACAGATAAACTCTCTTGAAGGGCGATTGCAAACAAAGCTAAGTTCAAATAGGATCTCCCGGTGAAACTTGTGATATTTTGGAAAACGTAAGCCAGGTATAAAAGGAGGTTTGTGAAAGTCTCTAGACCCAAATGTAAACCAAGAAACTTGAACTGGTAATAGCCAAGCTACAGCCCAGACTTTTCTGATATTCGTTTTTCATAGCTCTAAGCTCCTTTAACCTAACACTTCGTTTGGAAGTATAAAGTTGGCATCATTGGTTAAGGGTCGTATTACTCATTACTAAATCATTAACACTAAAATGGTGTGCTTTCAGGGATAGCAAAAGAATGTCTGGAGAAAGGTAACAAAGAATACAGACAAGGAGAAGCTAATAACGCGATAATCTCCTACACGGAAGGACTTCAAGTGAACTGCAGAGATAAAAGTCTGAACGCCAAGCTTTACAGCAACAGGGCAGCAGCTCATTTCCGTTTAGGTAACGATTTCATTTCTAAATATATAAATCTCTCATGAAGCGTTACAAGATAACGGAATACACAATCTGCCCCAAGAAAAGGAAAAAAATTGATCAACTGCAGAAAAGAAGCAAAGAAAGAGATATCACCCTTTAGCAGATGAAGATTAAGCAAAGAAATGATCCTCGTAAATGAACAGAAATTTATGCAATTGTAATTTTTTCATGCGTCTTTGCCGCAATTGCATGTGATGACCACTTTTTTAAACCTCATTTCTTAAATTTCAAAGCAAACTACGTGGAATGTGTCGATGATGCAACAGTTGCTGTTCAATTGGAACCCACTTTAATCCAAGCTATTGAGAAAGGTGAGTTTTTCAGATATAAGCCATCAACGTTCTTTTCTCTGATTTCGTCAAAAGAGGATTGCACCCCAAATGTCAATTGTATCTGGTGTGTCAATGTCTGTTATGTGGGTAAAAAGCATAAGCAAATGTCAATAACCTCTCAAATACCACTGCCTGTTTAGTTAACGTTGTAGAGCGCCGGAGGTCGAGGGCTCAAGCCCTAGACCAGAACAACACTCAGTCTAAAAACATCTGAGGAGAATGTGCTGCCACCTGGCTATGACATCTGCAAATTGTTTGATAATCTTGTCCCGGATATGGACGGAAAACTGAAACCCCCGTTTCCTGCATCTTCTCTGTAACTCTTAGCAGGAGACGTTAAAAAACCCGGCAAGGAGGCACCTGAAAAATTCCTTTTCAAAAGTTAAACTGCTCAATGCAGTCTGCCCGAAAACTTCCCCGAAAAGTGCTGAAAAGCGCATAAGAGCGCATTAAAATGAAGAATGCGCGAGATAAATTCATCGTTATCATCATCAATTGAAGCTTCATTGGTAGCCGCTTTGCATTAGCTCCTTATTGTTCATTTTCAGTTCTTCTACAAATTCAAATTTCCTTCATTATCACAATTTTTGCTCCCAGCTAAATGACAAATTAAGTCCATTTTATCAATACGTTCATACCTTAACAGTGATAAATTACCTCGCACCACCAATTATTCTCTCCTTTTCAGGAGCCAGAGCTTGTGTCGAACTTTCCTGGGATAAAGAAGCAAGGAGCTGGTTGCATATGGGATTGACAGTATCCTTTAACGAATGTTTCAAACGTGATACGAGATGCAATGCGAATAATATTTCAAGGAAAATCAATACGTTCCAGGCAGATTCTTCTACACATAATGCAAGCGATGTTCTCTTATACTGCACTGAGCAGTTTAAAGAAGCTAAAATATTATTAAGGAGTTCTTTCTTTTATTCCACGAAACTTAACTTAAAAGAAGAGGCCATATTAACTAATTCCCAGAGTTTCTGCTGAATGCCCCTCATTTTTAACTTCAAACGAGCATCACCATGACGACTGAACCTAAACTAATAAATGCGCTTCAGAGCTGGTTAACACTCTCGAATAACTTGAATTCAAATCTCTTTAAGAAACCCACGTTCGAATTATCATTCCAATTTTAGGGTTTCATACAATACTCTAATTATTTTGAAAACACAGATTTCCATTGCATTTTCGCAAATCCGCTCGTGATTTATCTACCCTTGACACGTTTTAAGATTGAAAACAATAACGAACGTCTGCTTCAATTACTAAGGAAATCGAATGCCGAACTAAAAGTCAAAGCACACACTTATGCCAGTCTCGGATGTGCTTATTGTCATGTTGGGCAGTTTCACACAGCAATCAAGTATCATCAACAGGATCTAGAAATTGCTGAAGAAGTGGGAGACAAGGCCGGAGAGGGAAGAAGTTATTGCAATCTCGGCAACGCTTATCAAGGTCTAGGACAGTTTAAAACAGCCATCCAGTACCATCAACGTCATCTAGAAATTGCTAAAGAAGTGGGAGACAAGGCCGGAGAGGGAAGAAGTTATTGCGGTCTCGGCAACGCTTATCAAGGTCTAGGACAGTTTAAAACAGCCATCCAGTACCATCAACGTCATCTAGAAATTGCTAAAGAAGTGGGAGACAAGGCCGGAGAGGGAATAAGTTATTGCAATCTCGGCAACGCTTATGACAGTCTAGGACAGTTTAAAACAGCCATCCAGTACCATCAACGTCACTCGGCAACGCTTATCGGCAACGCTTATCAAGTCTAGGACAGTTTAAAACAGCCATCCAGTACCATCAACGTCATCTAGAAATCTAAAGAAGTAGAAATTGCTAAAGAAGTGGGAGACAAGGCCGGAGAGGGAATAAGTTATGGCAATCTCGGCAACGCTTATTACAGTCTAGGACAGTTTAAAACAGCCATCCAGTACCATCAACGTCATCTAGAAATTGCTAAAGAAGTGGGAGACAAGGCCGGAGAGGGAATTAGTTATGGCAATCTCGGCAACGCTTATCAAGGTCTAGGACAGTTTAAAACAGCCATCCAGTACCATCAACGTCATCTAGAAATTGCTAAAGAAGTGGGAGACAAGGCCGGAGAGGGAAGAAGTTATGGCAATCTCGGCAACGCTTATCAGTCTAGGACAGTTTAAAACAGCCATCCAGTACCATCAACGTCATCTAGAAATTGCTAAAGAAGTGGGAGACAAGGCCGGAGAGGGAAGAAGTTATAACGGTCTCGGCAACGCTTATGGCAGTCTAGGACAGTTTAAAACAGCCATCCAGTACCATCAACGTCATCTAGAAATTGCTAAAGAAGTGGGAGACAAGGCCGGAGAGGGAAGAAGTTATCACAATCTCGGCAACGCTTATCAAGGTCTAGGACAGTTTAAAACAGCCATCCAGTACCATCAACGTCATCTAGAAATTGCTAAAGAAGTGGGAGACAAGGCCGGAGAGGGAAGAAGTTATTGCAATCTCGGCAACGCTTATCAAGGTCTAGGACAGTTTAAAACAGCCATCCAGTACCATCAACGTCATCTAGAAATTGCTAAAGAAGTGGGAGACAAGGCCGGAGAGGGAATAAGTTATGGCAATCTCGGCAACGCTTATGGCAGTCTAGGACAGTTTAAAACAGCCATCCAGTACCATCAACGTCATCTAGAAATTGCTAAAGAAGTGGGAGACAAGGCCGGAGAGGGAAGAAGTTATGGCAATCTCGGCAACGCTTATCAAGGTCTAGGACAGTTTAAAACAGCCATCCAGTACCATCAACGTCATCTAGAAATTGCTAAAGAAGTGGGAGACAAGGCCGGAGAGGGAATAAGTTATGGCAATCTCGGCAACGCTTATCGCAGTCTAGGACAGTTTAAAACAGCCATCCAGTACCATCAACGTGATCTAGAAATTGCTAAAGAAGTGGGAGACAAGGCCGGAGAGGGAAGAAGTTATGGCAATCTCGGCAACGCTTATCAAGGTCTAGGACAGTTTAAAACAGCCATCCAGTACCATCAACGTCATCTAGAAATTGCTAAAGAAGTGGGAGACAAGGCCGGAGAGGGAAGAAGTTATTGCAATCTCGGCAACGCTTATCGCAGTCTAGGACAGTTTAAAACAGCCATCCAGTACCATCAACGTCATCTAGAAATTGCTAAAGAAGTGGGAGACAAGGCCGGAGAGGGAAGCGGTTATGGCAATCTCGGCAACGCTTATCAAGGTCTAGGACAGTTTAAAACAGCCATCCAGTACCATCAACGTCATCTAGAAATTGCTAAAGAAGTGGGAGACAAGGCCGGAGAGGGAAGAAGTTATGGCAATCTCGGCAACGCTTATCGCAGTCTAGGACAGTTTAAAACAGCCATCCAGTACCATCAACGTCATCTAGAAATTGCTAAAGAAGTGGGAGACAAGGCCGGAGAGGGAAGAAGTTATGGCAATCTCGGCAACGCTTATCAGGGTTTAGGACAGTTTAAAACAGCCATCCAGTACCATCAACGTCATCTAGAAATTGCTAAAGAAGTGGGAGACAAGGCCGGAGAGGGAATTAGTTATGGCAATCTCGGCAACGCTTATCAAGGTCTAGGACAGTTTAAAACAGCCATCCAGTACCATCAACGTCATCTAGAAATTGCTAAAGAAGTGGGAGACAAGGCCGGAGAGGGAAGGAGTTATGGCCGTCTCGGCAACGCTTATCAAGGTCTAGGACAGTTTAAAACAGCCATCCAGTACCATCAACGTCATCTAGAAATTGCTAAAGCAGTGGGAGACAAGGCCGGAGAGGGAAAAGGTTATGGCGGTCTCGGCAACGCTTATTACAGTCTAGGACAGTTTAAAACAGCCATCCAGTACCATCAACGTGATCTAGAAATTGCTAAAGAAGTGGGAGACAAGGCCGGAGAGGGAAGAAGTTATTGCAATCTCGGCAGTTTAAAACAGCCATTCATTATCTAGAAATTGCTAAAGAAGTGGGAGACAAGGCCGGAGAGGGAATGTCAAAGACAGTTCAAAACAGCCATCCTGTTGTCAACGTCGCCTAGAAATATCCAAAGAACTGGGAGACAAGACTGGAGAGGCGTGCTCACTCTGTTCTCTTGGAAGCAGTTTTGAGTGCCTAGGAAATCTTGTGATGGCCTTTGACTGTTATCACTCGAGTGTACAGTTGTATGATGATATCAGGGCCAGTCTTCAACTCAACGATCAGTGGAAGATTTCTTATCGTAATCAGCACCAAAGTGCATACAAAGGTTTGTGGCGTATAAATCTCAATCAAGGTCAAGTTGTAAAGGCTCTTCTTGCCGCAGAGAAAGGACGTGCTCAAGCTCTGAGAGATCTCATGACCACAAAATATCAGCCTGGAGATTCTTCAACGCACAGCACATCTCTGAGTTGGGTTCCATTGAGCACAGTTATCATAGCTATTAATGGACCATGCGTTTACTTATGGGTTTGCCTCAGTGAAGATAACATCCAGATGAGACAGGTACACGTCAACAATTATAAGTATGAGGATGAATTGGAATGTTTCACCCAGCTACTGAACAAAACTGCTCTGAAGGAGATCGGTGCAAGAGATACTGTTCCAATCGAAAATCCTCCGCTTGATTCGCCGACAGAAGAGAAAGTGGCCAATCAAGTGATCCCAGTTGATGTGAGGCACTCCCAATCAAGTGCTTTAAAGAAGCTGCATGACATCATCGTTGCTCCTATCGCTGACCTGATCGAAGGCAACGACGAGATCACATTTGTTCCTGAGGGGCCATTTTGCCTTGTGCCTTATGCAGCGCTGCAGGACTCTGACTCATCATATCTGAGTGATTCTTTCAGAATTCGTGTCCTTCCCTCTCTGACGACGTTGAAACTAATTCATGATTGTCCAGCTGACTTTCACATGAAGACTGGTGCATTGCTTGTCGGCGATCCATGTTTTAAACATATCATCTATGAAGGAGGACTTTTGGTGCAACTTCCAGGAGCAAGGAAAGAAGTGGAGATGATCGGACGTATCCTCCATGTTTCCCCCCTCACTGGACAAATGGCAACAAAAGATGAAGTGTTAAAACGAATATCATCAGTGGCGTTAATTCACATTGCAGCGCACGGTAAACTGGAAACTGGAGAAGTTATCCTGGCACCAAACACCACAAGAGAAAACCCTCAGCCGCAAGAGAAAGACTATCTACTGACGATGAAAGACGTCATAGAAGCTGGGCTAAGAGCACGTCTGGTTGTACTCAGCTGCTGTCACACTGCTCGTGGGGAGGTCATGGCCGAGGGTGTGGTCGGTATGGCGCGTGCACTTTTGGGTGCCGGTGCTAGATCTGTTGTGGTAACCTTGTGGGCGATTGGCGACGAGGGAACCCTGGAGTTCATGACTTTCTTCTACGACGCACTTGCCGAAGGCAAGAAGGCAAGTGAAGCTCTCAATCAGGCCATGAAGTGTATGAGAGAAATTGATAAGTTCAAGAAGGAGATTTACTGGGCACCATTTGTACTCATTGGTGACGACGTCAACCTGGATTTCAAGGATATTTAGAGGCTGCAGTAAGTAAATACTCTGTTTATACATTCTATTCAGTACAAAGTTACATTAAATCATAATTATTACTTACGTGTGCGCCCTGATACTTGCGTATTATTTTCCTTTCAGTTGGGTTACGAATTTATTTTTTGCTCCGGCAAATTGAGATGCAGTACAACCAAGTGGACACGTTTACGATAATAACATTCTTTTTTGGAAACATGACAGGAGTAAAACAGCAAATTTGTTTTAAAACACTGATCCTGTTGTGCAATGTATCGTTTCAGGTGCTAGGAAATATTTCATGGCAATTCAGTTATCCTCCCTAAACTTAGATTCTTTTCTTTTTCAGTTAAGGCAGTGAGCATTGGAACCCCAGGGAGTTTTAGGGTACCTGTAAACGCTGATATTTGGACTAGAAACTAGTAAGCTACCGATGAAATCTTTTTCAAGAGTCTTCTTTTCAAAGTAGGAAGAATCAAAAGGAGGCCAAAGTCAAGTTTAACAAGAGGACGGATTTCCTTTGACTCAAAAGTTGACTTTTTGCTTGTCTGAACTGCTCTTACGAGCTTCATCTTTGATATCCTGCTGAAACAACTGTTTTGTTTTCATATGATGCCTTGAAATTATCATGACTTGCTATGTAAAAAGTTATTTTTAATCTAAGTATTACCTACTAAGAGGATTAAGGCGTTACGTTTACGTGGAAGTTGAAACGTCTTGAAATCGTTTTTCACAGTTTTTTTTTTGCAGATTTTTCTCAATCGGTTTTTTTCTCATGAGTGATGTAAAGCTGTTACAGCCATGTGCGTGTGTGGAGAATTTCCATGGAAATTGGACAGTAATCAGTTTTCGGATTGCTAGATTATCTTAGTTTATGTCAGATGGAAATTGTGATTAACTTTTAGAGGATTTGTACCCAGTCATTGGTACTTAAAGTTAGTTTCAGCCGATCATAATTAAGTTTATCTGGACTTAATATGACAGAGTTTGGCCGTAATGACAAGGATTTCGTCTTGGTATGAATTAATTTTCTGAGATTTCTCCTTTAATTTTGAATGCGATAAATTGTGTTATTTTTTACAAGTAGAACGATTCATCATGTTTAAGTATATTGTTTAAACTAATCGTCTAAAGGCAAAACGAGAAGTTTTATTTTAATTTTAGTTACTGGCCTACAAAGCATTAGAAGAAGCTCAGAACGAGCTGGAAGTTGGAGTTAGATGATTTTATTTAGTCACTCCATTTAGATTGTTTACATATTATCTAAGTACAATAAACTAACATTTGAATGTCAAACAATGAAACAAGTCGCTTGGTATTTTGTCAGAATGGAAGAGGAAATCAATAACAAAGGGAAGGACATTTCTGCATCAACCTGCATAAGCCATTTCTTGTCGTTTGAAGTAGAATTCGCTTAATAACTTTTGTCCATTTCTTTGAATAGGTTAATTGAATGAGAGATAAACTTCGATATTTTCTGACTCTATAACTGCTAATGACGATCATTGGGAGCCGTTTCTTAGGATGTCACGCTACGCACTCCTTTAGTTCGTTGCGCGACAGAGAATGTTTTGTCACATCTTGTCGTTTGAAGTAGTGTCCGCACCTATGTCTAATTCGCTCAACTTTTCCCATTTCCTTGGATAGAGTTATTAAATGAGATATAAACCTCGATATTTTCAGATTTTATATCCTCTAGTTTCGTTGGTAGCCGTCACGCAACGCGCTCCTCTTGCATGTAATGCGACAGTTATGATGTTTTGTCATATATCGTTGGAGGCCAGGAAAAAGAAATTACCTTCCACTTTGGGAGATGGTGCTTTATTCTCTTTATCGAAAGCGAGAGGTACCCTCGTCCTCATCATGAGATAATATTGATGAATTTTTTTTCCACGATTGCAAACTTAACTAAAACAGCCTGTTTCAAAAAACCGGAACTTTCTTGAAACTGAGGAGGGCCGACCGAGGGGATTTTTTAACGGCTAAAAATTGTGGCCATTTTTCTGCTGCAGTTAACCCAGAATAACACAAAGTAACACACTGAGGGAAGGAAAGATTTTTAAAGTTTTTTTTTTTCTATAATTAAACGGTTAAAATTTGTCAATTTTTTACGTCTAACAGCTAGTTTTTTGACCGATCTACTGCTAACGGTTAACCCCATTGAGACCCTCGACTGGGTGACATGCAAGATGTGAAATAAAAACAGTTTTATAAGGTGGCATTCGCAATTTGAATTTAGAGTGCTGGTTTTTTGAGGAGTAAGGATCAAACTAGGAGAGACGGGCATGGGAAGAGCGTTGTCACAGATCCACTGGGCATTCCTGTTATGTTCAATCTAAAATGCTTAATTAAGTTAACGCAAAAAAAAATATATCATGCGAGATATTCGCCGACGTCAAGACGAGCAACGATAAATCTCCTTCCCTCTTTTAAGAACGTGAACCGGATCCGAAAAGTCAGTAAGCCCTGATATTTTGACTTCACCCCAGATCTAAAAAACTGCGACAACGTAAATGTTTTAGGGGGGCGTCTCTACTGACGATAGCATATATATTACAGTCATTTTCAAGAAAGAGCCATGGGAAGGGGGGAGGGGTGGGTCGAGGTTCCGTTTATCCTCCCGGTCGGGAGTGTAAATGGCTACGTGGTTTCATGGGTAGCATCACAGGACGGATTCTCAAGAATCTTAGAGCTACGATTTCAGAAGGTAAAGATATGAATTTCCCTGCGTAATTGCTGGACTTAGGCTCCTTTCGTCTGCTTGGACTTTCTCTTCGTGCTCCATAACTCTACTCCATCTACCCTCCTTACGGCGGTTTTTAGTATATGCCATACAGGTGAATAAAGCTCTTCGTCTGGGCTGATTGGCTAATTTGGAATTAATAGTCGAACCTGCATTAAGCGGTCGGTTGTAAAATTCCCGACTGTTTTCTTCTTAAATATTCTCACTTTCAACGCTTTTCAGCGGTGGTCTCTATTTAGCGGTTGTGGTCATCCTTGACTGAGTCCCATCGGCCTGTTCGGGTTGTATGGAACGGTCACTTAGGGCTGAACCACTCGACTAAAACGACGAATTCTCTCTGGAATAAAATTTATTCCATGTTTGTCTCCCAAAATCAATGTTAGTATTTAGAGTTCAAATGTTCTCAACTCATCGTAGATTATCTTCCTTCTCAGGATTGTTTGTATCTGACAAATATCACACAAGAAAACTACGCAAGTGATGTGGTGGTTTACTACACCCATTTTGAAATCACTGGTGGTCCCTGATTGGCTCTAACTGATGCGATTTATTCACGAATCGCACCATTGTTTGCTTTAAATCGCATCTTTTTCGCAGCCAATGAGGAGGCTACACTAAAAACAAAACAACCAAGCAGATTTCAAGGCTTGTTTAAAATAACCGATCAAATTGCAGAAAAAATTTTGCAGCTTTTGTTTCCAAAACTCTTACTTTTTCCCCCCAAAAGATGGATGAATTTTCAGACCGGCTCAGTACTGCATCAATAAAATATTTGAACTAACCAAGTCCTTTATTTGAGCAATTTCAAAATAGATGTAATAAAGTGGTAATTGAACCTCGTGTGGTGCAAT